TCTTTAGAAACCATCGGCCATACCTGGGCATTTGGCCTCGAAGGGGCCGATAAGATGTCTGGATTGTGTTGTAGTTTACTTAAATTCATAGAAATAAGCGGAATACAAGGGGTGCGTTGTTTGACAACGGCTTTGTTAAGATTCACCGCTCAAGGCCGAGGGCTCTAGGCCGAGGGGATGGTAATGTGCCTCGAGGTTGAGGGACCAAGGCTGAGACTAACGCCGAAGGTGAGGAACATGATTAGCGGAGGTGGCGCTTCTTCGGCTCGGGCTCCTCGAACTCCTCTCCGTCACTAAGCCTCCCGATTTCATGTTTCTTTGTTGCGATGTCCCCTTCTTCTTTATCGGTGTTCTCCCCGGTGTTTTTCCTTGGGGCATTTTTGATGAATTGGTGGAGCTCACCCCGTTGAATTAAGAGTTCAATAGCCTTCTTTAACGAGACACAATCGTCTGTATTGTGGGAGGTGCTTTTGTGGTAACGGCAATAAGTGCCGCCTTGGTGGATGGCGTAGATCTCCCTCGCCGACCGAGGGTCCTTGGGGAAAAGGTCCTGCTCTTCCGCATAGTTGAGGATAGTGCTCATCGGGTGCGTGAGGGGAGTCCTCGGCATGTCCAGCCGAGGGCGCCATTGGCGTTCGTTACGGCCCTGCTGGGTGTGGCTTCCATGGTCTCGGCCTCCGGCCGAGGGCACATTTGGGGCCGGCGTGTTGTTTATCTTCTTCGAGGGCTGGCCCTCGTTCTTCTTGAAGGAGTGGAGGTCGTCGGTGTCGGCGTATAGGCTCCCCCGCTGGAGTGCTCTGAGGTATGATCTTGGGGGGTCAGTGATGAGGCTCCGTGCGTAGGGGCTGCTGCGGAGAACCCCCTGGAAGAGGACGAGGAGGGTACGCTCGTCGGCGCCCTCGACCTCATCTGTCTCCTTCATCCACCGGTCAATGAAGGACCGAAGTGTTTCGTCAGGCTGTTGCTTGACGGAGAGGAGCTGGGAGAAGTGCTTTCTAGCGTGCTTCCTTCCGGCAAAATGGGTGAGGAAGCGTTGGGCAAGATCTTGCCAAGAGTCAATGCTGCCCTCGGACAATCGATTGAACCATTCGTATGCTGGTCCCTCCAAGGTGGAAAGGAACCAACGACATAAGTATTCATCTGATGCCCCCATCATCATCATGCTGTTTTGATACCTGTTATAGTGATCCTGGGGGTCAGTTTTTCCTTCATAGGGCTTGATGAGTTGCCCTCGGTACTTTTCCGGGATTTGGGCCGCCAATACCCTTGGGGTGAATGGCGTCCAGGTCCGGAGCTGGATGATGGGTTCCCCGGAGCCCTCGGCTACCTTCTTCTGTAATTCCTCCATTTTGGCCATCATGGCCTCGTATTTGAGGTCTGAATGAGGGGTGGAGGTGGTGGCGTGAGCTTTGTCGGCCTCCATTTCATCAAGTCGGCGTTGGAGGGCCGCAATAATTTCGTCTCGGGGGTCCTTCGGGAGGGTCTCCGCCCCCTGCGAACGAACCCGAGCCGAGTGGGCCTGGTTGATCTGGTGGCGAGCATCGTCGGCATGAAGGGGTGCATTGCCTTTGTCCCGAGGGGGACGCTCCTCGTCTGCCCTCGAGACAGACCCTCCGCTTTCTTGGGGCCCTCGGCGGTCTTGCCCCCCTCCGAGCCGGTTGAGGGCGGAAGTGCGGGGCCTTTCTCTGTTGTCATTGTGGCGGTCCCGGGACTGAACTTCCTGGGAACCCGTGTCTTGGGCCACTACCCCTTCGTCATTCCTAACCCGAGGGATGGGGTTTCCGAAGGGGTGTGGCAGAGGGGGAAGTACGATGTTCTCCCCAACCTGGGGTTGAGCCGGAGCCAGGGTGCCGAAGGCACCCGGGTTCTGAGTTAGCGTCTGGATGAAGGCGGAGAGTGCCGAATGAACGTCGATGGTGAGGACCGGAGGGCTGACTTGGTCATCGCTCCGGTTTTTCTTCTTGGCCTCGATGCCGAGGCGGGCATCGGGGGCATTCTGCTGGATCTGAAGGCGTAGGTCGACAGTCTCCTGTTCCAGCCCAGCGATGACACCGCCCTCGGGAGCCTTGTGAGAGGCTTCGGGGGTGTTGACGTCGCCGAGGGCCAGGTTCTTGTCTTCTACGTTTTTGGAGTTGGCACGTGTTGTTCTCACCATTTTGGTAGAGGGCTAGTGTTTGGCGAAGGGGGAGGGTTTCTTACTTGATCGTTCGACCTCTCAACGAGAGCACCAAATGATGGATGGTCTACCCGGGGGGTGTATATCCGAAGGGTTATTGCTGAGAGTAACTTAGAGAAAAGTCAGAGCAAAAGTAAGTAAGAGAGGGTGTATTCAGTATGAATGTCGTGTGGTTTACAATGAGGGAAAGGGATGCTATTTATAGTAGTAATAAATGCTAGATAAGGACATGTGTCAGTTTTCTGGTGGTCGAGGGGTCACCTCGACCGGGGTGGCACTGGCACTCGCATGTGGCCGCATTAAATGCGGTGGTTGGATGTGACGTTTGTACTTGGTACGGTGATCCAGGCACATGTGAAGAGGATATTCTGTCGAGGTGGATGCCTTCGGCTGAAGGGTGCTGGGCCGAAGGCTCTTCTAACCGAGGGCTCCTACCTGCCGAGGGCTGCAGGTGCCGAAGGCTTGGTTTTCAAGCCTTGTTCTCCTGTGATGCTTCTTCTAACCGAGGGCTCCTACCTGCCGAGGGCTGCAGTTGCCGAAGGCTTGGTTTTCAAGCCTTGTTCTCCTGTGATGTTTCTGAGCTCGATTCCGTCACTGGTAGCCTTCGGCCATGGGGCCGAAGGCCCCCCTTTGCGTATTGTGGGCTGCTTAGAGCTCCATTTTTCTGGGCTTGGCCCGTTTGGGCCTGTTGGGCCTGATTGTAGTAGAGGAAGTATGTGGGCCGGAGGTCCCTGGGCCATATACTCCATCACCCCTGCTTTGGTTCCAATGTATTTCAATTCCAAAACCACTCTAACCTCTAGATGAACAAATCGCTAATAGATTTTATTGATTGAAACTAAACACAAATGGTGACATTGCTTTGGATTCAAACAATGAATCTGTGTTACAATTATTCTCCTTCTGTCCCGAAAAATACTTCCTGGTTTGACTTGGTACGGAATTTAAGAACGTGTGAATAAAATGGAAATGTATGATCGTGGTTGAGTAAGAAAAAGTTAAATGAATAGTGGCTAGGGATGGACCGGGCCCGGGTTGGGTCGGAGCCCGGGCCGGGATTGGATGGGACTTGGGATTTGGACTGAAGGCTCGATACCGGCCCGGGTTTGAACCGGGTCACGTCAATTTTTTTTATAAAATTAGTCTTTTCTAATTTATTCCTACCCCGCCACCCCCAAACCCCGCCAAAACACCCAGCCCAACCCACCTAGCAGCGGCCCAATGCCAAAAAACTAAAAAAATAAATGGCCCAGACTAACCTCGAACTTGTCGGTCCACTAAAATAAGGTCCCGAGGCCCGTCCCATTTGAACCTCGGCCCCCAATACCGATCGTGATAACGCTGGCCGGGCTGGGTTGAGCCTGCACAGTGGCAGCCTGGCAGGCCGGAATGACAGTTGACCCATCCTAGTCCATCCCTAATAGTAGCCATAGAAATCTTTCCACAAAGGAAAATGAGAAGAATTTTTTTAAACGTCCCAAATAGGTAAGTGGGATGAATTCTCTGGGATGGTCGGATGGAGGGAGTAAATGATAAATTCGTTTTATCAACTTTAAACTTTCGCATTTTTTTGTAGAACCAAAAATAAAAGGGAAAATAACTTTAAATAATATCAACTATCTTCCATGAACTAATAATATTACATATTTTAAAAATAACTTTTAATAATACCAATTTTCTAAATGTAGAACAAAAATAATATGGAGACACTTTTCTACAAGAAATCTAATCATTTATGACATCAACAACTAATATTAAACCATCTATTAAATGATAGTATTTGTAAATATGGTCACTTATTTGATATTTTGATGTTAGTATGGGTTAGAACTTAGATGGCTAAATATTTAGTGAAATTTTGCTTTACAAGGAGTATCACTTTTGATATATATTCTAATAGTTGGTATTATTAAAGGTTATTTCTAAAGTACTACGGAGTATTATTCTAGATTAGATAGTTGATATTATTTGAAGTTATTTTTCAAAAATAAAATAGCAATGTGACCTCATTTACAAAATCTTCAATTAACAGTGTATATTAACAAATGACCTAAAAGCAGATTCTTCTCGTTTTAGGGGGTGTTTGGAATTAATTCTGATTCTGCTTCTTTTTTAAAGCAGAAGCAGAATCAGAATCAGTTTTCAGAAGCTGGTCACCCCCAGCTTCTAAAAAACTGATTCTTGGAGTAAATTAGAGCACCAGAATCACTTCTGCACTTTCACCCAAACACCCCAACTTCTGCAGTTCTGCTCCCTGAAGGAGCAAAAGCAGTTTTAAGAATCAGATCCAAACACCCCCTTATACAGCCGACACAAATTGTTTGAAAAATTGAAATCATGGACTAATTGTTGCTACTTGCTACATAGGCTTGGACCAAGTTCGGGCCGCCCGACCCGGCCCGCTACTGTGCAGGACCGGGACCAGACCGGTACTGGACTTGGACCCGAACCGGTGGGTAAAGCGGGGGCGGGCTTGGGTATGTGAATTGGTGAGCCGGACCGGCCGGGCCCGGTTCGGGCCAAAATGTTTTTTGTTTTTTCAAATTTGTGTGGTTTCCCCCGGGTTGGGTTGGGTGTTTGGGGGGGAGTTGGGGATGGGGGTCAGGGGGTAGTTAGGAAAGCAAAAAAATTATAAACCGCCCAAGGCCCGGCCCGAACCGGACCCGGTGGAAACCCGGGCCAGTCCCGGGCCTTCCCCCAACCATAAAAAGCCCGGCCGGGCCTAGGCCCGACACGGACTCGACCCAGCCCGAGGCCATGCCTATAATGCTACATGGCATTAATGCAGTGCTACACTGTGCAAGAAGTGTGCAACCCTCAATTCCTCAAATATCAGATCCCTTCAAGCAAAGAGCTGTTTTGTCGTGATTCGCAGAAATGATATTCCAACATAATAATAAATTACTCCAATCGCCAACGGAAAACATAACTTTGAAAAGGGAAGAAAACTTTGATACCCATCCCGCATCCGATCCTCCCAAGTCCCACCCCAAATAAATGCCAAAATTAACGGCCAGAGTACATACAGGATGGGAGAAGCATACAAAAAATAAATAGATAAAAAAAATAGTAACTAAGTTTAATCATATTCTTCAGACTACGTTAACAATCCCAAACCGCAAAAAAACGTCCTTCGTCGATACCTGCCGCCACAGATGCCTGCTGCCAACACTAATGCCGATACCTGCCACTCCGGTCTCTGTTGTCACGTGCATAATCTCTGTCACGATGATCATAGTCATAGGACCGCTCTCGATCTCTCTCTCTTCCTCCCCGATCTCTCTCACGGCTTCTGCTCCTACGCCTCTCCCTCTCATCTCTATCCCCTCTTCCTCTCTCTCTGCTTCTTTCCTTTCTGTCTCGATCAGACATTCCTGCCCCCATTCATTTTATCTCATCAGTGGCTTGCCAAGCCAAAGAACGTTTACCCAATATACGCACACTCATCAAGAATAAAAAATACGGAAATTTGGCATTTGCATCATGTTACCCCAGCATTTGACTTAAAATGTTGTGTCTTATTTTTTTCTACTTCGAGCCCAAAGCACCAAGAAGTGAGATGCAACGTCAAATGTGAAGTATGGGGTGCAAAATCAATGAAAATAAAACATAGGATACAAATTAAATATTGGGGTGGTTAGCATGGGGTGCAAATACCAAATATCCCGAAAAGACAAGCCCAGATGTGCTAATAGTAGTGTACTACCTAATTCCTCCACCTCCCATCCAGCACGCCCAACACCAGGGATGTTCTGGACAGTTTCAGGTTGCTGTGCTTTTGCACGGAACTTTTTCTTAAGGTTTCCAAACTCATCATACATTTCTCCATCATCCTGAGATATTTAAAGATGACAGCACATGTCGTGAAACCAATGTAATATACAAACTTCACATGCACAAATTTACTTACTTCCTCAGCCTCTCGTCGACGTCTCTTAGTTTCTTCCAACTCTTCTTCATCGAGTTCTTTATATCCTCCACCACGCCCCCCTCTGCAAAGTATATATCCAAACTAATTTCAGATACATGTGAAAAAATAATAAGTTATTGCCATGTAAAAAATCGCTCGTGATTTACATGTTTTGAAATAGGGAAAACTGTCAAATAGGTCCATCCACTTTTAACTATCAAAAAACGACCAAATCGGCTTTTTAATAGGTTGCGAACTGGTTAGCCGGTTATCTGCCTACGTGGACGTCGGACGTGGCGTTTTTTTACTGTTTTCCATTTTTTTCTTTTGTTTTCCTTTTTCTTCTTTCTTTTTTCTCTTCCTTTTCTCTTTTTTCTCTTCCTTCCTCTTCCTGGTCCGCATCTCTTCCCCTTCCCAATCCGTTTGTCTCCTTCGTTTCTTTCTTGTCTCTCACTGAAATCAACTCCTCCGCTTCTGCCTCTCTAGCCACCATCTTGGCTTTCCAGCCCCCATAGCTACCGCCTCAAGAGTCCGGCCTACACCTTCACCCCAACCGCCCCTTCTGCCATACACACGCCTCCGGCCACCATCTATGTGACCTTCCCCTTCACCTCCAAGCGACCTCCAGCCGCGACGGCTTTCACAGCCTCCGGCTTCCACCTCCACGGTCTCCAACTCCGTCTCTTCCATGGAACGACCTCCAACCACCCGGTTTCCAACTCCGCCTCTTCCATGGAACGGACCTCCAACCACCCGGTCTCCATAGCCCGCCACCACCTCATAGATCTGTAGTTGTAGATGCAGGGAGGGAAGAGGAGTTTATTTCGAAGGGGAGATGCCGAGATGGAGTGCAGACGAGGAACGGACTGAAGAAAGAAGAAAGAGAAAAAAAAAAAAAAAAAAGGAAAAAAAATAAAATGCCAGATGGATGTCCACGTAGAGAGTTAACCGGACAACCGGTTGGCAACCTGTTAAATAGCCGATTTGGTCGTTTTTTGATAGTCAACGGACTTGATTGACTCAAAAAAAAAGTGCATGTACTCAATTGACTTTTTGTTAAAAGTAGGTTGACCTATTTGACAGTTTTCCCTTGAAATATAATGTTGGCGACTATATTTTCTTAATTTCTGTTTAAAAACAATATATGGAGTTGATGCTATATTTGGATTTTTGCAAAGCCAGACCACCAAGTTTGAACAAATCAATGACATCTTATATGAGTAGACAAAAATCATTTATTACCAGTACCAAAATACCTACCATCAATCCCATACAAGGTTCCAAATCTATTTCTCTTTTAACACAACTCTTCTATTTTGCAGAACCTAGTAGTCTGTTTTACTCTCTTCCTAAATTTAAAAGTGAAATTGAGTCATTCTTTTCATACTCAAATGGGGATAAAACTTAAAGTAAAAATCACACTCAAGACTTTGAGTACTAAAAACAGAAACTGTGATAACAATCCACTAATAAGCTCTATGCATTAACCATTCAGTACCTCACACCACCCTCATTGTGACCAGGCTTGTTAGTGTTGCAGATATTACATTTCATGCGCTTAGCCCAATTGATGTTGCCACACCTATATCCCAGCAATAAAACATTTGGTTAAAAGAAAAGAGACTAATATAGAAGTTCTAAACACGAGGACCAGATCACATTTAAAATATAGATAATGGAATGTTTTATTTTCATTGACTTCGTAACGTAGAATAACCGAGTAGATTGTAAAGTCTAATTATTGGAGTGTGAATGGGGTAGAACTATAAAATTTCATTTTGACTTTGCACCTCATGTTTACCTCAATCTTTGTTTATAGCTTTGAAAAGAAAATACCATGTTGAAAACCGTTCGATAGATTTAGTAGTATACAGATCTAACATTCTTATTTAGAAGGGTTGGTTGCTAAAATCACAAAATTTAGGTGCAACTGCAAATTTAAAGAAAAAAATAGTTTTAGCAGTGTCATTCACAACCATTTCAATTGGCAAACCGATACAACGGTCACATATCTCCAAGCGGTGCAGATGTGGGACAATTGATCAGCTTGTCCATTCCACGTGGACATGCATTGATGACAACAGACAAGTGGAAGGGAATGTTTGTGGAATGAAAACTTCAATGTGGCCTCTCTGTCTTGCAAAATCATTTTGCATCCTTTTTAGCAACATGGAAGCGGAAGATGCTATTTTCAAGCTGCCAAAAAATGATGGGAGATGGACAGATGGTGGCGGAGATATGCAGAAGAAGTGAAAGTAGAGTTGGGGAATCTTCTCTGAGTTCTATCGGCAAGAAAATTAAGTAGAATGTACATTTTTTATTTAAAAAAATGCATCTTTTCATGTACAAAAATGTAAATATGGAAATTAAGTCAGCAAATTGTACTTTAGGCAAACAAAAAAATGCCGCTACCTGTTCATGACTAAGAGGAGAAAAGGACTGTGGGTCCCATTAAAATAAAAACACCTATTTTGTTTGGTGTGTTTTAACTTTTCATTTTGTGATCTGATTGTTATAAAAAATATATCAAAACTTATAATTTTGTATTATCTTTCATTTGACACCAGTATTGCATACATAAAAATAATTTAACACTTTAAAAACTTCTATTTTTTTAAGTGTTATAATTTTTCTGTTTATGCTGACTTTGACAAAAAAATATCAAAATTCATAATTTTTACTATCTTTCATATGACACTAACATAACATATATAAAAATCAAAGAATAATTTGAAGATATGGCTACTAGAGTTTTTTAAAGGGTTTTTTACATAAATATTACCAAAATAAAACTAATTTACATAAATATGACTAATAGTTACTACAATGTAGTAAGACTGCGTAGTACAGGGGTAAGACTGCGTACATCCGACCCCCCCTTACCCCACCATAGGTGGGAGCCTTTGCGGCACTGGGTAAATGATGATGATGATGATGAGTTACTACAATGTAGTGTCATAGTAACTCTAAGTATAAATATTGAACATAAGTTACTATGATTTCATTACTACTTAGTCATTAGTCACTTTTTTGTAGACAATCTTAATTTTAGTCATAAAAATGTAATTATTTCTTTTTTAAATACATCAAAGTTCTGAAATTAAGATCTCATGAAAAAAAGTAATAGCAATTTGGTGAATAAAATGGGGTTTAATGAACTCCATTTTTCTCACATTAGGCGATCAGCGAATAGAGTCGCTCACGAATTGGCTTGTTCTTTGTCTGATAGTCGTGTTTGGTGGTATGATAGAATCCTCCAGGTTAGCAGTAAAGTTAAAGAGAAATTAACAAGAACAATTTGAGAATTTTATTGAAGATGAACAGAATCTGTAACAACGATAGAGAGAGGGTATGGTCGAAGCCCCCAAATGAGCCAAAGCCCCCCAAAGAAAGAGATTAGCTCTCGATCTTCCCAAGTCCCAAATGACAAAGTCTAAAACAGCCTACTAAACCCTTTCCTGCTATCTTCTATTTATACTAAACTTATACACTTTATTCTTATTAATTAATACTCTAATAGGCCCGGTCCTTTATTCTTAGTATCTAATAGGCCCGGTCCCTAACAATACTCCCCCCTAAACATCCACCTTGCCCTCAAGGTGGGTGATAGGACACAGCCACCAACTTATTCTTTTCTTTCATCCTAGCACCCCTCCCTCTCCAATGCTGATTTGTCTGCTGGACCTTTTGCTTTACTACTTCCATCTTCCGCTCTATGTATTTCATAGCATAGTTCCACAGAGGCCAGAAAATTTGATCCAAAACTTTGATTCCTGCAGATTTTGGGAAGACCAAGGTGCAGCCTGCTGCAACATAGGGGACAGCTACTTCATGCTTTTGAACAGTGAACACTTCCTCCTTCAACATCCTGTTCACTTGATGAGTCATCTCCTTGTAAAATCACCTTCTGCCCTTGTACTTCCCATTTGAAGGTCTGACTTTGGAAGTTAATCTCCGTGTCTCCCAAGCTTGTTAGCCAGTCCATTCCCAAGACTAAATCCGTGCTCCCCAACTCCAATAAGTAATAAGTTTGACGAATACCAATTCCTTGCACATTCAGATCTACACCGCACAGCTGCCACAGATTTGAATAATTATCCATTCCCTAACTGCACCCTATTCCCCTGAAAAGGAGTATAAGGAATCCTCCACTTTTCCACCAAGCTTAGTGACATAAAATTGTGTGTAGCACCTCCATCAATGAGTACATTTACTGTGTTTTCACCTTCATGCCATTCCAGTTTACCTTTCACCTTAAAGGTTTTCACAGGGGTTATGTCTTTCTCATCACTTAAAGAAAACTGCATGGTCTTCAATTCTAGAGGTGTGGTCTTATCCTTGCCAGATTCCAGTGATTCAACTTCAGAATCAGCTTCACCCTCCAAATTCTCCACTAGGATCATTTTATAGTTCCTCATCTTGCAGACATGTCCTCTTCCCCAATTTTCACCGCATTTAAAACAGAGTCCTTTCTTGCTTCTGTTTAATAGTTCTTCTTGGGATAGTCTGGGACTTGTCTCATTAGATACGCAGCTTGGACCTTCCTTCCTGCTTTCATCTCCCCATTTCTGGCCTGTGAAGACTGGATGATAGGTTTAATCTGCCATTTCCTCTTTCCTTCATCCTTATTCTTCACAAACAAGGTTTCAGAATTCTTGTTCTCAATCGCGGACGCAGTATCCATAACTTCTGTCAACGTTCTAGTACGACGTAACTTCAATTCTGCTCTTATATCTCTTTTCAATCCCTTAAGAAAGGCTCCTCTCAAGACTTCTTCAGTTAAGTGGCCTTGTGAAGCGATAGCCTTTTCAAATTTATCTCGGTACTCCTGAATTGTCCCCTTCTGCTTCAGGCTAAACAGAGGCCCTAGTGGATCCTGTACCAGATCAGGTTGAAATCGCTTGGTCAAAGATTGAGTAAAAGAGTCCCAGTTTTGATGCGTAGCCTGCCTCTCAATTTTCTGTTCCTCTTCAGTTTGATTCAAGCGGAAATATCGGTTCATTCTAACCAACCATCCAGAAGCATTTTCTCCATTAAAAATAGGTAAGTCGATCTTTCTACCTGTATGATGATGATGACGTTCCCTGTGATGATGGCGGTGTTGATGTCGACGTGGAGGAGAATAGTCGGAATTGTTTTCCGATCCCTCTGAACTTGCCGATTGTCGCGAACGATGATGGCGAGGTGAACGATGATGGTGAGGTGAATGGTGATGATAAGAAGTGTGATGTGATGTAGATGTGCGATGCGATGCAGATGATCGATGCGACCTACTTCTTGATCGATCCGTTTTTTGATTTTTCAACTCGGCAAATCCAGCTTGCATCATCGCCAGCAATTCTTCGTACTTCGTATCGGTCTTCGCACCTAATTCCTGCTGACCTCGCTCGACGTTACGTTCGATTTCTGTCATCCTCCCTTCCATTTTCTTCCTCGTGCCAACCATTCAGAACTACAACCAGGCTCTGATACCAATGATAGAATCCTCCAGGTTAGCAGTAAAGTTACAGAGAAATTAACAAGAACAATTTGAGAATTTTATTGAAGATGAACAGAATCTGTAACAACGATCGAGAGAGAGTATGGCCGAAGCCCCCAAATGAGCCAAAGCCCCCCAAAGAAAAAGATTAGCTCTCGATCTTCCCAAGTCCCAAATGACAAAGTCTAAAACAGCCTACTAAACCCTTCCCTGCTATCTTCTATTTATACTAAACTTATACACTTTATTCTTATTAATACTCTAATAGGCCCGGTCCTTTATTCTTAGTATCTAATAGGCCCGGTCCCTAACATGGTATAACCCACCTAGTTTTATTACTCATGTATTGAACTTTGATTTGATTAATAGCAATTAATTTACTTTCTTCAAAAAAAAATGCCTGTGTACTTCAGTATGAAATTGCACTATATAATCATGAGATTTTAATTTCAGAACTTTGATGTATTTAAAAAATTGTAGTACCCGTATCGTCAAATATTTTTTTATTCTTATATATGCAATGTTAGTTTTCCATCATTTGCAATGGAGCCAAAGATTCATTATTTTTTGGCTTGAGATTATGATGGAATAAAGCAAAATGGCTCACTAAAATGTCTGCGCTTCTTTGTTATGAAGCAGTAGTCAGTCCATGCAATTTTGGACGGGATTTTCACAATGGGTCATCCGGAAACAGTCTCTATGTGCTTTAGTACAGGGGTAAGACTGCGTACATCCGATCCCCCTTACCCCACCGTAGGTGGGAGCCTTTGCGGCACTGGGGTAAATGAAAATGAAAATGATATGCAATGTTAGTGTCATATGAAAGATAATAAATAATTACGAGTTCTGATTATAAACAAACTAAAATTATAACACTTTAAAAAATGGAAGTTTTTTAAAGTGTTAAATTATTTTTCATTTTTATATATGCAATAAAGGTGTCAAATGAAAAAAGTTATAACAAATATAGGTGTAAAAGAGTCCCAATTCTGATTATAAATTTTGATATATTTTTTATAACAATCGGAGCACAAATAAAAAAGTTATAACACATTAAACAAAAGAGGTGTTTTTATTTTAATGGGACCCACGGTCCTTTTCTCCTCCTAGTCATGGGCAGGTAGTGGCGTTTTTTTGTTTGCTTAAAGCCGCCATCCCAAATAGCGATTCTCTTAACTGCAATTTAATCTAGCAGTATTTTGGGAATTACTTTTAACCCTACCCTAATTTGGTAAATATTTTTTTATTTTGCATTATTTTGAGAAAAAACTCCAAAGTGGGATCATTGAGTTAACTTTTATACTCGTGCTATTATGGATGTTTTTACTTGGACTGTAATTCTTCCCAGACCAGACCAGACCAGACTTGGATAGTTATAAAAATACAAAGAAACCAGACCAGACTTGGATAGTTATAAAAATACAAAGAAACCAGATCAGGCTAGACGAGACCAGACCAGCAAATTACAGTCCAAGTAAAAACATCCTATGTATTAACTTCATTAGGCAACACTGCCAGTATTTTTTTGAGATTTGAAAGAGCATAATGCTATAACAGAAAAACACAAAGTGGTACAAATCATAGATAATTTGTGGATGTATACTTGCCACTGTGATTGCATACCAAAACAAGGACCTCTGGGCAGATAGTGGAAACCAAATTCCAGTAGTTTTTCTGAGATTTGAAAGAGAAGAACTTTCTTACATGGGACAAGACCAATCATTTGGACCAAAGAGGCCGGGAGGACCACCAACTGCTCGACCAGGGGCACCTGGGTCATTGTTGCCACGGCCCCTACCTCGCCCACCAGCCCCAGCACAACCACCAGAGACACCAACCGGTCGAGCGCTTCCACAACGGTTGCAAACACCCCGAAACGCAAAGTTCACATTAGAGCAACTGTACAAATACAAAATTATAACAGAAGCATTAGTACAAGAGTATATTCAGAATTTTGGGTGCTAAGAGATAAACACAAAAAGGGATAGAAAATGGTAGGTTTAATTACATTTAACTCGCCTATGATTTGGTCATATTACAAATAGTCCCTGAAGTATTTGATAATTACAAATAGACACTTGAGCAGTCAAATTTGACATATGTGATGCCCTAACAGTAATTAAGTGTATTGGACCAAATTCTGTATTTTTAATGCATCTTATCAACTTAAAATGTTCAAGGTTTCTTTCAATAGACTCATTTCATCATTTTCATTGACCCCAGTGCCGCAAAGGCTCCCACCTACGGTGGGGTAGGGGGGTTGGATGTACGCAGTCTTACACTTTTACCCTTGTACTAAAGCACAGAGAGACTGTTTCCGGATGACCCATAGTGAAAATCGCGTCGAAAAATGCATGGACTGACTGCTGCTTCATAACAAAGAAGCGCAGACAGTTTAGTGAGCCATTTTGCTTTATCCCAAAAAATAATGAATCTTTGGCTCCATTGCAAATGATGGAAATATGTGCTTTCAATAGACTATTTAGGATAAATGCTAACAGTAATTTAGTATGAAAACATGTGCTTCCTACTAATATCACACTATTCTATCTTCCATTGGTGTCCTTTGTCAGATATTTGACTCGTCAAGGGGTGTAATTTGTAATTTTCAAAAATGGAAAAACCTCAGGGATTATTTGAAAATTTTCAAAAACCTAGGAGAGTTGATGTAATTAACTGAATAACGAAAAGCAAGAAAGAGTTTCTCACCAATAACTGCATCACAGACCTTGTATTTGGACACATCCAGTCCCCTTCTTGTTGCCATGATGAATCTCCCCCCCTGCCTCTACCATGTCCACCCCCTCCATTTATATCCTTAGAACCTTCATCCATGCCAGCAAACCCACCACTTTTTTCCAGGTTCGTGTCTCCAACCTGAGTAGCTGAGTTATATGAGAGGTCATCTTTGCTTTTTGATTCTGCAATAAAGACTTCAATAATGGACCCATGAAATTCCTTGTTGTTGAACCAATCAACAGCAGCCAATGCAGCATGTGGGTCCTCATATGTGACAGTTGCATCACCCTTGGGCTCATTTGTTGCTTTGTCACGGTACAACCATATCTTAGGCCGGCCAGTTCTTTTATCCTTCTATAGCATATAAAAGAAAAGAAAACAAATCAGAACTCAAAACAGGAAAAGAAAAACAAAAGCAAAAAAAACACATGAACCTGCTCATACATAAAAAAACAAATGATCTGTTTGGTAAAGCAGAGTTTGCCTTATCCACTATGACTTTTACAAACAATAACTTATTTGAATGCATAAACTGAATGATGAATTTAAATAAAAATGGTGCACATGTTGCTTTTGCTGAAATGGTTGAAATAGAGATATGGCAATTGGCACATCTGCCCTCATTTTATAGATATCATTTCATTACGTCTATTAAAAATGCATCTCAAACATATTTTAGATAATCATCCATTCCAAGTTTTCAAAAACATAATAACCACACTCAGCCCATTCCATCATTTTATCCAAATTTATTCCTACCCAAACAGGCTCAAAAGTAGTTGACAATTTTAAGTACAATACAAAAGAAGTATGTGGCTAGAATATTGTGGAAGAAAAAATCAAAGAGTTAAAAAAAAAAGCTCTAGGGAAGTAAAATCAAGCAATACCTGATTGCAACTCATACCTTTAGCACTCCAATTGTGCCAAAATGCTCGGCTAACATATCTTCATCTGTTCCAAAGGGTAAATTACAAACATATACAGACCCATTTGTTGGAACTCCCTTTGATGAGTAGTTTTCCATTGGATCTCAACTCTGATGAAAATTAAGAAAAATGAAGTAAATGTACTGCAAAAACAACAATTTGACTAACACTAAAACTGTCTAAAAGACAGATTTAATGCAAAACAGAGCTAAAGTTGCAACTGTTAGTGATAGACTGATAGTACTATAGTAGCAGTCCAGATGAGTAAAGAATTAAGCACTGATGTGCAACACAGCAGGTGAAGAGGACAGAAGATATCTAACAGCAAATAACACTAGCAGAAATTCCATTAGCCAAAAATCTTAATCTAAAAGGAAAAGAAATTTCAGGAAAATGTTCCCGCTAAGAAGTGTCAACTTCAGTCCTTGATTTTTTTATGGCTCAAAAAAAATACAAAAAAAATACAAAAAAATGTAGCCTAAAGATATTAGTTCGTTCCAGATATGAGGTATACTATTAGGCTGTTCCTATTGGCCAAAAGAAGAGGTGCGCATATTTTCAGCTGAACTTCCGTGTGTTTCTATTGGTCTAAAAGGCGGTGAGCATGATGGACATAAAATTGTGACCGCATGTTAATTGCTGTTTACCTTCCTTTGCTTCTATTGGTGGGAAGGGCGGTGCGAACGGTAATGGACTAATGGGATACGTTCAAGTTCGAGTATAAAAGCATCGCTGCAGCGGTAGATTTCTCACATCAATTCGGCCATCAAGCTCAAATAGCAAACAAGCAATATATTTCTTTCGTGGATTGAATTGGAAACGCTCCCACTTCCGGAGATGCCATAGGCAGTCATGAGATCTTCACTGCGAGTCGACTGACCTATACGTACGGCTGCATCCGCAGATTCTTCAAGTTCGGATTCATTCTACTTCCATGACTTTGTCCTTCGCAACCCTTCTTCCCACTTCCATCCTAATTTTAAAACGAGAGTTGAGGGAGATGAGCGTGATATGGTGAGGAGATAAATGATGTGTGGTATAGAACCATCGGGACAACAGTCGGATGAACCATCTAGATTTTTTTGAAAGATTTAATAATGTCATCTAGATAGTACTCCGAGTATGATTTTTTTTTTATAAAATCGATAATGTCAGTCTGGTCCGTAATAATCCGCATATCTATTTTTAATATGGCGTATACTCCCTATTTTTTTGTATTTTTTATACAGAATTATGAAAGCATAAAATACACGGAGTATCATTTTTTAAAAATATGCTCCGTATTAATCAAAACTATTATTGAAAGTTTATTGCCTTTGAACTGAAAATGTCAAATACGTCAAAGCTTTGTGGGACATGAGTATTTCATAAGGCAGATACGAAGTATTTATTTTTAAATAATTGCTTTTATGTTGAAGAAAAAGTTAGCGACATTGCATTTATGGAGTGTTTGCGATTGCTTATTCTTTTTAGAAGTCTTTTTTTAAAGATATTATTGGAAAAATAAATTATAGTAAAAGTAGGTAGTGTTTGGTAATAGGAATAATTTTAAATAAAATGTAAAAGTTGAAGTGTTTGATAAAAAATGATTTTTAAGTAGTATTTTACTAGAGTACAAAAATGCCATTATACAAATTAAATTGAATACTACCTAAATATTAAAAAAAGCTTGGCAGTAGTTCACCGGCACCTACCCAACTCGAAGTGGACAGAATAATAAGAAAGGAAGAGAATTATAGCAGAGGAAAAGAATTAGCACGAGGAAGTGAAAACAGAAGTGAACAAATAATTCTGGACGAGTTGGATCGGCCGACTAGGGATGCAATGACTGCTGCAACTCCGATCGCTATACCAGTGACACCAAGTTTGAGCAGAATCAACTATATATATTTTCCTCGGCTGAATCTGGAACAAGAGAGGAGAACACACACATGGGTGGGGAATCGGAGCGGTCGATAATGGAGAAGTAGTAAGGTTGGTTGGGAGTCTTTTGAAGCAAGAGAGATGAAGGAGGGTGGTTTTGGGTGCAATTGAAATATCTAATCTAATGATTATCCTTAAAGTTGCAATTATTTACCAAAAAACCAAGAAGCAGTTAGAAGTAGTCATATACCCACTTCCAGTTTTTAGCTTTTAAGTGCTTAATTTAAGTAGAAGCAGAGATTTGAAAACATCAAATTCAACTTCTTTAAGCTATAAGCTGAAAAGCACTTTTTAAAATCGTTTGCAAACACTCCTTTAAATAGCGGGGATCAGAGTTGGGTCTGGATCGGATTTTGGTAAATCCGAAGAACAACCTTAAAATCCAAGGTTATGAAAATTAAAACTAGAACAAGGACTATTATATATCGGTCCAAGTCGTGTTTTTAATATTTTGGGATAGGATAGGGCCAGTTAAAGCTGAACGAAAAATCAACACATCATCATTTCATATTTATCGCTCGAAAATACTAACGCACAATGACAAAAATATTAGTCTCTAGAATTTCCAACAAATCAATTCCATTTTTTATATTTAGTATGCATGTTTAAAATAATGGGGATTTCCCATTACTTAAGGCAATTGTTTCGGGTATATTAATTAGTTTGTGAATTATGGATTTTAGAGACCATAGACAGGGTCAATTTTAAGGATTTTCTTGGGTAATATCTATTCAATCTGTCTAAAAATAAATTACTCTGAGTGTCAAGAAATTTCAAACCAAATTCAAGCCGGTTTGCAGTTTTCAATATGGTCTTTTTCATCCCGTGCATCGCACAGGTGAGTTACTAGTTACAAGAAAACAGCTCCCTCTCATCCCAGACCATTATTTTGGAACATATGGAGCATGTTATAATTGGTAGAGAAATTGAATATTCCATTCAACTAAAAGATAGCTATATATACAGCCCATATCACCATAATTAAAGAAAGGGAATCAAATCAAATCAAATTATCCCTAAAATCAAGCTATTCTATTCAGTGTTGTTCATGGCAGATTATGGAGGAGAGCCAAAAACACCATATAAATACTCCATATTGCATGTGGCAAACTATGTAATATAATCGCCAAGTACTCCAAATAACACTAGCATAAATTCCATTAGCCAAAAATTACAAGAAAACAGCTCCCTCTCATCCCAGACCATTATTTTTGAACATATGGAGCATGTTATAATTGGTAGAGAAATTGAATATTTCATTCAACTAAAAGATAGCTATATATACAGCCCATATCACCTTAATTAAAGAGAGGGAATCAAATCAAATCAAATTATCCCTAAAATAAAGCTATTCTATTCAGTGTTGTTCATGGCAGATTATGGAGGAGAGCCAAAAACACCATATAAATACTCCAGATTGCATGTGGCAAACTATGTAATATAATCGCCAAGTACTCAATGATTACTCGCTACTCAGGGTACGGCCTTGCCGATTAGTATTCTGACTTGCACTGTTCCATTTTTCGAGTAACTTCCAGAGCACTCAGCAATTTTGTCTACTCATTTACAAGATTGGCTCACCAGTTAATACTTAATAGGCAGCCAGATAGATTTTTTTTGGGTTAAATCTGTAAAGCTAAAACTAAATTGGGATATTATAGAATTTATGAATAAGTAGTGGGTATTTTAAAAATTGGAAAAATGAGATTACAACATTACAAGGTCAGTCTATGTTTGAGGACATGGAGGATGATGAAGAAAATGACAACTTTGAACTTAATGAAAATTACTTTCACACAAAAGTTTAAAATTAAGTATTATTAGCAATTGATTTTCATGGAAGTTAGAATGTTTATGATTATGATTGTGGGGATTTGTTGCTACTTTATTATTAGGAATTTTTTTTAATACTATTCACTTAATCACAGTTAAGAGTTATATGACTGATATATTACTACAGTTTTGGCCTTTTGAGGCATTTATGTTTTTAATTTTAATTAATAAAGGTTCGAGTAATCACCTAGTAATCCGAGTAATCCCGCCTACTTGTTACTCGGCCCTTGAACAAATCGCCACCAGGTAGCAATTTAACTACTCAGGCAGCAAATAGCAGAAACATAGCGGGCTAGATGAAAAGATGACATGTATACTAGTTATATTAGAACAGTTATATTTATAATTTATATATATTACTATGTATATCATACTTGCTGGGAGCCGTAAAGTAATAGAGGAGCGTCAACTAACACTGTCAAAGATAGTACTGAAAATAAAGTCATAATACTAAACTAGTAAATACCATAAATTTAAAGAAGTAGGCAGTATTTCATTAGAGAATCCAATATAGAACCAGTAGTGGTGCCAAATATTTGAACAAATGTTAAAATAATTAAAGAGTAAAGAATCTATTTGTTTGTATATATTAAAAAATGGTGAAGTAAGATGTTTGGGCGAAAGCGTGAAAAGGATTTTTCCTGAACAGGATTAGTATTGATTAAATAGAAAAAACGGTGTCCGGATTAAGCACTTTTTAAAAATACAACAATGAGAAATAATCATTCAGCGAAAAACTATATATATGGAATGTTTTCATGGTCTTTGTTGAGAGCTGAGTCTGAAAGTAGTTAACAGAGCCGGCTCAACTTGGGCAGTAAAAAAAGATGTGTGTACATTTATGAAGTGTTTGTGTTCGAGAAGACTACAGTGACTCCAAAATTGGTCTTATATGATGAAGAGGCCATTTTTGTCAAGTACACATGTAAAGAAACAACCAGATGTGGTGATTTCTTTAGTCCTCTTCAGCTCAGGTTATACGATGAAACTACGAAGAGTACTACAATCACTAGCAAGAAAGAATGGAGCGAATGATGAAAAAAAGGCTGAACTGTTTTACTTAAATACTTGGCCTTATATATTAGCATTACAGAACAATTATTTAGTTTTATTCTCTTAGTTCAATTATTATACCGTGACCACTTGATAATGATTGTATGAAATGACATGCATGTTTTATTTTTCAATTGAGCTTTCCAGAAAACTACATGTTCATGTCATTTGGCTATTCTAAACACTTAAAAAGGTTAATTTGAGAATCCAGTTACGTTGTGTATTTATGTTACCCAAATACTGAGCCACCATAGAAGTGTATGTCAGCAAATTTAAGGTACTTCAGACATTGGCTTATTGTTTATGCTTCTAGCGCGTCATTATTATGGATTACGTAAAAAAGAAATCAATATGAAAATTCCTTACTTATAAGTTTAGAATTACGCTTTTACTTGAGATTAGTGAGCAATGTCTTAGAGAGATGATATAAAGCCATTGAAATTGACAGTGTGAATATGGATATATTTATCTGGGAAGAGAATATCCTTATACATTGTGGATTACATACTTGGGTGTCCATCTCGTAAATCTCGACTAATTGTTTCTAAATCATAGTGTTGTTAAGATCGCGGGTTGACTGGATTAGGTGGGATCGAAAATATAGATCGCCGAAGCGACGAGTCGGATCATAAAACCGCAGGATCGTCGATTTGCGTCGATCTGTGAATAGGACGGCCGTGGAGAAAAACGGCGCTCAGGGTCCGACGGAAAGCTAGTGTGTACTGTGAAAGCATATCGATAAGGTTAGAAGCTGAAGCATAGAAAAGAGATACCTGAACGGATTTGGAAGTGCGGTCAATGGTCCGTCAGGTCCGACGGAAAGCTGGTGTGTAAGGAAGTTCTGGGAGGCTTCAATGTCTGCAGCCTACGTGAAGTCATTGTAAAAAAACAGTCAGATATGCTTGTATCCAAACATACAATCCAAAGTTTGGCCCGTTGGTTAACCGGCCCAATACAAGTAATATGGAGTACTACCTCCGACAGTTAAGAAAAGTTATTTTATATACTCTCATTTCTTTTGGTTAAGTTTTAATAAAGTGGTTGAAAAGGTAAAAGTTGTTGTTGAGATTTGAGTATAATAAAGTGAAATGATATGAACCACATCTTTCTTTTCAAAAAGAAAAACAGGACCATCATTTTGGGACATCCCAAAAAGGAAATACAGGACTATCATTTTGGGACGGAGGTAGTAGTTGATATTGAATTGATAAAGTTAGAATAATTTAACAGAACATAAACTATTCTAAACTTAGTATGATATAATCTTAGTGGGGTGGACCGAAAAGAAAAGCTGAGACAATTTAACGGGACGGAAGGAATAATAAACTTGGAACGTTTTTTATTGGACCACTTTAAGTACCAGATCAGACCAATTTAAATCATATCATACAAGATCATATTAGAAAATTTCAGTTCAATAAAAACATTCTAACAAATATATAGTGCTAGTATATTTTGTTGTATACTCTATATTTTAATTAAAAGAATCTGTATCACAAAAATAACTAACTAAATGAACTTCTTATAATATACGAAGTACGTAGTACTACGTAATATGAAGTATGAAAAGACCAAATGTATTAAATAACTAAAACGCAATTAATTATAATTTTGGAAAAGGGTCAAATATGTCCTACAATTTTCAATCAGTCACTCAGTCCCTCTACTAAGAAAAATTTCATATAACTACGCTTGCTTTAAAAATTGATCAATTTGACCATTTAAATGGTTTTTGACTTGTAATAACAAGTTTTTATTATTTAGAAACTCTAAAAAATTGTTAAAATTTGAAAAATATACACAAAAAATGTGAAGTTTGGAAGAAATCAATCGAAACGCATTTACCGGAATATTTGATCAACATAACTAGCTTTTTCCTTGGCTTCAAAATTCGTCTTTGATAGATTAGGAATTAATAGTGGTGGTCTCAGATGAGGTAAAAGTCTAGAGGGTGTGAATAGACTTTTAAAACTTTTTTCATTTGTCAACCATTTTCCCTCTAACAGAGTAAGTTTCAATATCTTTTGAGAAGCAGGTTTCCAAACTTCTGGGAGCACGTTGTTGAACCTCTTAGGAGCAGGCTGTCGAATGAGCTACTACATCAATGTTTTGGGTCACATAAAAGAAGTATGACCTAGGACATTACTTGACTTTTCATAACAAACTTAACACATATGTATGAAGGAGTTAGACCTATATAAACATAGATCTCTTTGAGAAATAAGGACTAAGGAACAACGAGTTTGACATACAGTAAACTGGATAGTTACTGGTTAGTGTTTTGAGGAAGCTGTTTGTCTTGAAGAGTTGTGAAGGTGAGTGAGAAACTGAGAACTACAGTGTGTTGTGGGAATTGAATATATAAGGTAACACGAGATATAATTTTGTTCAGAGGTGGTGTAATCCTCCTACATCCAGTCCCAACCTATTTCAGACGGATTTCCACTAAATGAATATATCCATTACATTTAGTGTTCAATCTACCCTTGGCCGCAGGCATAGACTGTGAGGTTTTTCACAAGGAATTTGAACATCATTCTAGGTTGCTCAGTCCTTTAAAGTTTTTCACTAATGGCATTGACTTGCCAAAAGTTACTCATGTCCTTGAACTTCACATACCTTCTGGAATTGATCACAAAGCCCTTCAGAGTATTACACATTAGTATAGTTTACATGAGTAAAACTAAACTACCAACTAACTAAGCTCTAAAGATATATATGAATTTGAGCTATTCTAAGAGCTTAGATGAGTGAGGTGAGAACTAAGAGGGTGAAGGAAGATCAACACTTTGTGTTGCTGGATATGTCAAATGATTCCATCTTCCTTCTTAGCTCCCACTTGTTCTTCAAGCGCTCCTTCTATATTTAAAGACTTTGTTGTTGAAGCTCCACCGTTGGTTGAAGAGTTTCAATCTTGACCGTTGCTTTGATCCACTTGCTTCGTTCCACTTAACTGAATAGGCAGCATGGTTGATTTTTGTCCATTTGTGACACGGACCATTTTTTACTCAACTTGTTTTCCTCAACTCAATGTAAAGATAAAGGTAGAATATCTTTAGTCTTTTATTCGAAGACTTTGAGTATATAAGTCGGTTGTTGTTCAATGCTTTCTTATTATAAAAATTACTTGCTTTTAGTAAAATAATGTCATAAGAAATTTTTATAAGAAGGTAAAAAATTCTTATAAAATTACTTTCTATATCCTTTTGTCATTTTGACTGCAAGTTGGTCTTTTGTTCTGTTGTTTTTGTGTTTTAGAGAAGAGTAGTAGTTTTCGGTGGTCTTTTCTGGAAAACCAAGTCAGTAGCCTACTAAAGAGTGTTTTCAGTAGGCTACTGATTTGGTTTTTCAGGTGGATGCCGAATTTCAAAGGGTTTCAGTTATCTCTTTTCGTACCTTTTTGTTTTGAATCTATTCTTTCTTTTTGGTATGTTTCTTCACTTTTTAGTACTCTTTTTGTTTTTTATGAGTACTTTGTTTTTTAATAAAGAGTAGCTGTTATACCCGGAAATTATCTGACATTCAGGCCGATGTATTTTTAGCAATAAACGAAGAGCCCATCGGTAACAAGGAAGAGTCCAGTGCTGCGGTCAAAGCAAGATAAACTTTGAAAGGAAAGAACATTTGAAAGGGAAGTCTTAAGCTTGGGGAGGAAATAAAAAATTAGCTATTAATTAGGTTATCTTCTATATATGGGCGGCAGACATATCATGGGAGATTTTATGTAATCAACCATTACTTTCTTTCCTTATTCTCCTCATGTGCTCATGTATAAATTGCCTTAGGCAATATGTAAAAAGAGATACATGAAGCACACGATCAACACACCATCAAGCACCATTATTCTTCATTTTCGAGCTACTCAATTCTTCTTTCATATTCAATTGCAATTATTCTTAATAAAATTATTGTCGATTCATATTTGCTCGATTCCCGTTTAATTCATATTTAGTTTAGCATATTTTGGCTAAAACAATTTGGCACTATCTGTGGGAAATTCGTGCAAAAAAGAATCGATCATGGCCGGAACTAATCCTTTGATGAACGAGCTTCACGAACGTATGGAGGCAATGAAAGAAGAAATCTGTCGTGAGATGGCGGAACGGATGGCTCGCCTCCAGCAGGAAAATGATATACTATGATCCCACGTGCAATCGGCGATCTCCATTGCCTCAAATTCAAAGAATGGTCGGAGGAACGAAGCCACAAATGCCGCTACTAGGTTGGACCTAGGCTTCACCCCAGCCGCGACGGAACCACTCGCCACCACAGGGGATCCGGTCTCTCTCACGCTAGGTTAATCACCGGCGGGAGAACCGGGACCGTCAAATGGATCTGTTCCCGCTCCAAATCCTGGACGGAATGTGTTCCACAACCCGTTTGCGAAACCACAAAGACGGCGCGTTCCGGAACATGTCAACATTTCTAAGCAGAGATAACAGGAACCTGAAGTCATCGCCATACCATCACCAACCAGGCAAGAGGTGACCCGAATGATGACGCCACCAATCCCGATGACGACACGGATGCAGACACGCCCAGTAGACCCCATGATCGTCATCATGGAGGAGTTGAGAGAAATGCGGGAGAAGATCAATGACATCCTCAGTGTACCGCCACCATTGGACATTGTTTCACAAACATGTTACGCGGATTCTCCCTTTGGACGACATATCAATGACGTCGAGATCCCAAGGAAGTTCATCCCCCCTTCAATGAAGTTGTTCAATGGAACTTCTAATCCATCGGAACACATTGCACAATATAAGCAGCAAATGTTAGCAATTTCAGATAGGCCGGAGCAACAGGGAGCTTGCATGTGTAGAGCATTTGGGATGACATTAGCAGGACCAGTGTTGATGTGGTTCGTCAATCTGTCCAAGAAGGAATCAACTCTTTTGTTGAACTCGTCAACTTGTTCAACCAACAGTTTGCAAGCAGCCGAGCCTTGGAGAAGCAGACCAATGATCTTTATCGGGCGGTCCAGAGACGAAACGAATCCTTGCAGGATTACTTGCATCGCTTCAATAAGGAGAAGGTATCAATCCCCAGGTGTTACATGTCGACGACAATTGAAGCATTCGGAAGGGGACTGCTTGAGAATTCAGAGTTATATTGGGAGTTGACGAAATACCCTAGTCGGTCCTTCAAAGATGTCCAAGCAAAGACATTGGCTTTCATCCGTCTGGAAGAAGACTTACAAGCCCGTCGTGGACAAATTGAACAGGAAGGGGGTCACGGGAGATCAGAATCTCCCACGATGCATGACTACAAGCATGGAAAACCTTATTCGAGGCTTGAGGAACAAGTCGTCACTTCTATGACAAGATAGATCGGACGGCATGATTCAAGTCGTCGGACGGGGGGCATGTCGTCCGATGGTAGACCGGTTCTGAAGAGCTGCAATACGGTACCTTTAAAGTTGTTTCACTTTTAGTTTATTATTTTCTTTTATTGTCATCATTCCCGTGACGAAATAGACCAGTCGACATGATTGAAATCTTCGGACAGGGGGCATGTCGTCAGGTAATAAACCTGACGAGATGATTGAAATCGTCTGACTATAGACAGGTTCTGGCGATAGATATTTAGTTTCATATACATATTCTTATATTATTACTTTCATTTATCTATAAGCGATCACTAACTTAAGTGTCGGAGGGCCGTTGGCTAAAAGCCAACGACCGGACTCTGACAACATGTGTGTATGCAGGGCGTCAACAATATAAGAGACAGCCACTACTATACCCATATAGCGACATCCGTTAACGATAAATCTACACAAACCTCTTACTACGTCAACAAGGGATGGTAGGGCCAGTTCGAGTCCTTCATACTAAAAATATGAGTTATGGGCTGAAAAGCCCTACAAGTTTTGGCCAAAACAACAAACAGAGCATACATCAAATGCACTGACAACATCAAAAACTTCAGATGACATCAAAACTACATAAATACACAACAGAAGCATGTGCTCCAAGAGCATGACAACAAAAGCTCCAAAACATAAGGGCACAATACGAACAACAGTGACATAAATCATAAATGAAACAGTGTTCAAAGTTTTTTCAGGATTACGTTCATGCAACCCGACTTGTCATCTCTAGCAACAGACGAAGTTCCCCTTGCCAACTGAAATGATGACATCAACCTGGACCCCGTTTCAATTCGACAACATTGCCTAGAAATGATCATTAGTGCAAAGTTGGAAGAAGAGGAAACGGTTGAGTAAATCAAAGAGGAACATTAGTCAAGAGTTCAAATTCATTATGATGACATTCGCACGCTCGCCATCATCATGAATTGGGGGAAAATGTTATACCCGGAAATTATCTGGCATTTGGGCCGATGTGTTTTTAGCAACAAACGAAGAGCCCATCGGAAACAAGGAAGAGTCGAGTGCTACGGTCAAAGCAAGATCAACTTTGAAAGGAAAGAGCATTTGAAAGGGAAGTCCTAAGCTTGGGGAGGAAGTAAAAAAGTAGCTATTAATTAGATTATGTTCTATATTTGGGCGGCAGACATATCATGGGAGATTTTATGTAATCAACCATTACTTTCTTTCCTTATTCTCCTCATATGCTCATGTATAAATTGCCTCGGGAAATATTTAAAAAGGGATACAGGAAGCACATGATCAACACACCATCAAGCACCATTATTCTTCATTTTCGAGCTACTCAATTCTTCTTTCATATTCAATTGCAATTATTCTTAATAAAATTATTTGATTCATATTTGCTCGATTCCTGTTTAATTCATATTTAGTTTAGCATATTTTGGCTAAAACAGTAGCACATTACAATAAACAAAGTAGGATCTAGTCTAATACAGAAAAATAAAAAGGGGTGGCATCATCAAAACTCAATACATTAATCATCAAAACCTAGAGGACCTACCAAATAGCTTGAAGAGAGGTAATCGGGGAAGTCGGCTTTACGGTTTTAACACCGAAGGAAATTCTTAGAAAGGGGTTATTTATACTAACGGATTGAATTCAGGCTAAAAGAGAGGAACGACATTCTAAAAGAAATGTACAAGTTCTTATGCATAACTTGTATTGACACAAAAGAGGGTAGTAACTGTGATTCACAAATATAAAAATATCAAAACAATGAGTACTGATGGGGTTATGGGACTAGGCCCAGAGCCTAATCGGCCCAGGCCCCGAACTTGGACCAGCGGGCCCAAGCCCAGCAACCCAGAGCTCGAGTCAGTCCAACCAACCAGGGAAATCAGGGAGCCTGCGGTCCAGCCTACCCGGGAGCCTGCCTTCCAGCCCAGTGGGGAGCCCGCCTTCCAGCCTAGCCAGGAGCCTGCCGACCACCAGCCCAGCTGGGAGCATGCGGTCCAGCCCAACTGGGAGCCTGCGGTCCAGCCTACCCGGGAGCCCGCCTTCCAACCTAGCCAGGAGCCTGCCGACCACCAGCCCAGCTGGGAGCCTGCGGTCCAGCCCAACTGGGAGCCTGCGGTCCAGCCTACCCGGGAGCCTGCCTTCCAGCCCAGTGGGGAGCCCGCCTTCCAGCCTAGCCAGGAGCCTGCCGACCACCAGCCCAGCTGGGAGCCTGCGGTCCAGCCCAACTGGGAGCTTGCGGTCCAGCCTACCCGGGAGCCTGCCTTCCAGCCCAGTGGGGAGCCTACCTTCCAGCCTAGCCAGGAGCCTGCCGACCACCAGCCCAGTTGGGAGCCTGCGGTCCAGCCCAACTGGAAGCCTGCGGTCCAGCCTACCCGGGAGCCTGCCTTCCAGCCTACCCGGGAGCCTGCCTCCAGCCCGGTCAGAAGCCTTCCTCCAGCCTAGCGGGAAGCCCACCATCCAGTCCAGCAGGAGGGAGCTCAAGCGTCCAGCCTGCCAGCCAGGCTGACCTGCCAGCCAAGAAGAGTAACGGCCAACAATTAATGCGCGACTTAATTATGTGTTTAATTCTGTATTAATGTTGTAATTAATTTAGTCATTATTATGTTCGGCAGTTACCATTTGTAATCGCCTATAAAAGGCAATTCGAATTTCAAATACAGAGATGCTATTTCTGGCTAACTTTCCATATTCGTACTTTCCTAATTCTTGCTTGAGTGTCGTACGTAGCTTTCCTAAAAGCCTACGAGCGTCCTATTTTGGACCAACATTGGTGCTTTCATTGAGAGCCTCTATTGTCTCTCACATAACTTGAGCAGGAATCACACAGGAAGATGGCTGGAATCTCGTCTCGACGTGACCATGTCTCAGTCCACACCGAGGAGTCTGCCCGGTCTGGCCGCCAGCGTGCCCTCGACAACCATGCACAGGGCAGGAGGGCGGCGCGCCAAGGCGACCTTCGGAACCAATTATCAGGCCACGGCGACCTAAGGGCGACGCTCAACCACACTCAAGGTGAGCGCTCGGTCCGCAGCCGGCGGGGGGGAGGCCGACGTCATGCTCCGCGCATGGACCCGGCTCGACTCAATGCCGGGGTGGAAGCTCTGCAGGAGGCAACTCGGGTTCTGGGGACCTTGGCTCAAAATTTCCAACAGATGGTGTCTGGCGGAAATGTGGATGAGCCTGCCCGTCAACAGACGCCAGCGGATGTGGAGGTGTCCTCCAGGCGGCGTGATGAGCGACGCTCTGGATCCAACCAAAACAGGGGGGAAGAAGTCTCCCATCGGCGGGGGGAAGAAGTCTCTCAGCAGCCTAGCCGACCCCATCGGCAGACGGGGAGGGGCGCCCAGCAGGGACGCCCAACGCAGATGGAAGGAGGCGAGCCCTCTCGCCACTCTCACCGGGCGAGCAGTCGGACTGGCTCCACGGAGAGGCAAAACGTGGGGCCCCGACCTCACGTGCACGGACGACTTGGAGGTGCCGCCGGACATGCTCAGCCCCGCGCTGGAGCTGTCCGGGGGAACCCACCGCCGGCCGAGGTGGAAGATCTACGACAGCGCCTTGACGAGTTGAGAAGGAGGGTCATCGGGGGGGAGCCCTACACGGCCGACCTCCGGATACCCGAACCCTTCACCCGGGCGGTCATGGATGCGCCGTTGCCGAGGGGCTACAAGCCATGCGCCATTGAAGCATACAAGGGCGCTTCTGACCCCCAGCATCATGTATCTCGGTACCTTTCCTACATGGTCATGATGGGGTACGAGGACGCAATCCGATGCCGCGGTTTCTCCGCCACTTTGGATGGCCCGGCTCGTGAATGGTATGACTCTCTACCCGACGGGAGTATCACGAATTTCCGTGAGTTGGCTCAGCGCTTTCTCTTGAGGTTCGCGAGCTCCCGAGACGTCAAGAAAAACTTCAGCCACCTGTTCGGCCTAAAACAGGGGAAGAAAGAATCATTGTCGACCTTCCTAGCGAGGTGGAGGGCCGAGTCAGTCAAGGTTCAGGGCCTTGATGACAGGACCGGGGTGGCCATGCTCACAAACTCTATCCGATCGGGTGAGCTTTACAAAGATTTCGTCAGAAGTCCCCCTACCTCGTACGAGGAGGCGCTCGGTCGTGCCGACCGGCAAGCCGAGGCGGAGGACGCCTTGCAGAGGAAAAGAGATGAGGAAGAAGGTGCGAAAGAAGAAAAGAAGAAGGAAGCCGGTTCGGGTGCTGAGAAAGCTGACGGCAAAGCTAACAACAAAAACAACAAATACAAAGGTAACAAAAGTAGGGGCAAGGGCAAGGCGGACGTCCCGAGCGGACCGCTACAGCCCGTCAAGCAATTGACTCCACTTGCTCAGCCGGTCGGGGCCATCCTCGACTACGCGGAGGAGCAAGGTTTAGTCGACTTTCCTGAGGAGTGTGATGTGGTGACTGCCAAGCGCAACCACGACCAATATTGTCGATTCCATCGGAGAGCAGGGCATGATACAGATGATTGCGTCATTCTCCGGCGGCAAATTGCAGAACTCATCCAGAAAGGGTACCTGGGCCAATTCGTTGGCAAACAAGGAGGCATCCCGCAGAAGAGGAGCCTGACGTGGCAGCGGTCCGACCAAGCTACCACGTCAAAGGAGACACCCCTACCAAGAAGCGGGAGCTCGGCGCCTTCTCCGAGGAAGACGATGCCGACCTAGGGAACGGCCCCCGGAAGTACCATCGATGTTCGTTCATATTCGGGGGACCCCAGGGAGGCGACACCTCTGGAGAGCGGAAGCAGTGGGCCCGAGCCCTATACGTCGGGGAGATTACCAGGGCTCCCGCCGACAAGAGGGTGAAGAGGGACCCCATCTTCTTCACCGGCGCAGATTTGCCACCGATGCCTCCGCCGCACAGGGATGCCTTGGTCATCAAGGTCGAAATCAACAACACGATCGTCCACCGAGTCCTGGTGGACAATGGGAGCTCCGTTAACATCATGTACTATGACACCTTCCAAGGTCTCGGGCTGGACCGAAAAGACTTGATCCCGGTGAGAACCCCACTCTCAGGCTTCACCGGGGACTCCATTGAGTCGGAGGGCAGCATAGTCCTCCCTGTGATGGTGGGCTCCGAGCCCTGCGTATCCAAGTTAGACGTCGAGTTTATCGTCGTACGCCTAACTTGTGCGCATAAGATCATCATGGGAAGGCCGGCCCTGGAAGACTTCAGATGTGTGATATCCCAGGAGCACCTATGCATGAAGTTTCCCACTCCGAATGGCGTCGGAGTCGCCAGGGGAGATCAGCGAATGGCGAGGAGCTGCTATCTGAAAGCTTGCAAACAAATCGGTCAAAAAGACTTGAGGATCCACACTATCAACAGCAAAGCCATGAAGTATGAGGAGGGTCAGCTCCGCGCTGAACCCACCTCAGACGTGGAGGAGATCCAGATTGACCCTGAGAGGCCGGAGCGGAAGGTCAAGATCGGGACCGGGCTCCCGGTCGGCTTGAGGGAGAAGATTATCCAGGTACTTGTCTTTTTTAGCGTTGTCTTCGCGTGGGGACCGGAGGACATGCCTGGACTTGACCGAAGCATCACTGTCCATCGGCTGGCGGTCAATCCAACGGTGAAGCCCATCCAGCAGAAAAGAAGACACCTCTCAACCGAGAGGAGGGAATTCGTGAAGAAGGAGGTCAACATGCTCCTGAGTATCAAGCATATCCGGGAGGTCTTGTACCCGGTTTGGCTGGCAAACGTGGTCCTGGCCCCGAAGCCGCCAACCTGGAGGATGTGTGTTGATTACACCGATCTCAACAAGGCATGTCCGATGGATCCATTCCCATTGCCTAACATCGACCAACTAGTCGATGGGACGGCCGGATGTGAGCTCCTTAGCTTCATGGACGCTTTTCGAGGATACCATCAGATTTTCATGCATGAAGAAGATGCGGAGAAGACCTCATTCGTCACCCCAGAGGGGATTTTTTGTTATCTTGTCATGGCGTTCGGGCTGAAGAACTCTGGGGCGACGTACACGAGGATGGTGGCCAAGGTATTCCGGAAGGTGCTCGGAAGGAACATGGAGGCGTATGTTGACGACATGATCGTCAAGAGCACCCGGGCATCCGATCATGCAGATGATTTGGCAGAGATCTTCGGGATCATGAAGGCCGTCCGTCTGCGCCTGAACCCGAAGAAATGTACCTTTGCCGTCCAAGGAGGCAAGTTCCTGGGGTACATGGTCACACGGAGGGGGATTGAGCCAAATCCTGAGAAGGTAAGGGCAATACTTGACATGGAACCCCCGAGGTCGGTGAAAGAAGTCCAGATTCTCACCGGCCGGCTAGCAGCCCTTGGACGTTTCATGTCCAAGTCCGCCGAAAGGTCCCTACCCTTCTTCCAGGTCCTAAAGAAACAAAATGGTTTCGTTTGGAATGGTGAGTGTCAACGAGCCTTCGACGACCTGAAGAAGTACCTCCTCTCTGAGCCTTTACTCAGCAAGCCGGAGAGGGGGGAGACGTTAATCCTTTATCTTGGGGTTTCCCAAGGCGCAATCAGTTCCGTGCTGGTTCGCGAGGAGGAAGGCGTTCAACGTCCCGTCTACTATGTGAGCAAGGCCCTCCAGAATGCTGAGCTCCGGTACACCCCGCTCGAGAAGACAATATATGCCGCCTACATCACCGCCAAGAAGTTGACACACTACTTCCAAGCGCACCCGATCAGAATCCTGTCGGACCAACCCCTAGGTGCCGCTCTGAGGGCGCCCGGCACAACCCGGGTAGTGAAGTGGTCGATGCTCCTCAACCAATATGAGGTTGACTTCCAGCCTCGGACGTCCATCAAAGGCCAGGCTCTGGCCGATTTCATTGTGGAATGCACGGCCCGAGAAGTGGCAGATAGGCAACAAGAGAGCAATGAACAATGGTGGACTCTAGCGACTGATGGGTCGGCAGGAGCCAAGGGATGCGGGGGCGGAATCGTCCTCATCTCACCCGAGGGATTCCGAGCCTACTATGCCTACCGCTATCTTTTCAAAGTCTCCAACAATGAGGTGGAGTACGAGGCCCTACTGTCTGGGCTACGATTGGCAGCCGCCATGGGAGCAGAGTGGATAACGGTGAAATGTGACTCCCGCCTGGTGGTTTCCCAGGTCAAAGGTGAGTTCGAGGCGAAGGAAGAAAGAATGATGAAGTATCGAGATGTTGTTCGGGAGTTGCTCGGGTTGTTCAAGCAAGCAGAGTTGATCTGCATCCCGAGAAATCAAAACTCCGATGCAGACCTCCTCTCAAAGCTATCCCAAGGGTTACCTGAACATATATCGAGAATCGCACGCATTGAGGAGATGACGACCTCAAGCATATCAGCCTCACCGTCCATTGACGTCCTTCCCCTGCAACCAGTCGCCTGGTGTTGGGTGGATGACCTCCTGCGCTACATAGCCGACGGGACGCTCCCCGATAAAGAGGAGGAGGCAAGGTTAGTCCGGCGACGAGCTCCGGGCTACGTCGTCTTGGATGAGAAGCTGTACAAGAGGTCCTACAATGGGACCTTGCTAAAGTGTTTACGCCCACATGAGGCGGAAATGATCGTCTCTGAACTCCATGGGGGCGTATGCTCCGCCCATCAGGGGGCAGGCACGTTAGCTAGGAAGGTCGTCCTCCAGGGGTACTTTTGGCCAACAATAATGAAGGATTGCGCTGACTATGCAAGGAAATGCGAGACATGCCAGAAGTTCCAGAAGAGCCCCGGCCGACCAGCAACGATGTACACACCGATCAGCACCGCCCTTCCATTCACAAGATGGGGTGTCGACCTGGTCGGTCCCTTACCAACCGGGTCGGGAAACCGGAAGTTTGTCATCGTCGCAGTGGACTACTTTACGAAGTGGCTTGAGGCCGAGCCGCTTGCCAGCATCACACATCTCCAATGTAGGAAGTTCATATGGAAGAATATTTTCTGCCGGTTTGGGGTTCCCCTCCAAATAATCTCCGACAACGGAAAGCAGTTTGACTGCGAAGCCTTCCGGCAATTCTGTGCAGAGTGGGGAGTAGAATCCAGCCGAGTTGCGGTCTGCTACCCCCAGGCAAATGGACAGGTGGAGAACACCAACCGGATGATCGTCGATGGACTTCAAAAGAAGTTGGAGGCCCTCGGGACTGCCTGGGTGGAGGAGTTGAACAATATACTCTGGACCTTCAGGACAACCCCAAGGAAGGCAACAGGAGAGACCCCCTTTGCCTTGTGTTATGGCTTTGAGGCGAGGGCACCATTCGAGGCCGTGGTTCCCAGCCGGCGAGTAGAAGAGTTCGAACCAGCCAGCAATGAGGAGAGGCTCCGAGCCGAGCTCCACCTCATTGAGGAAAGAAGAGACCGTGCCTTCATCAAAGCGGAAAACTATCGACGACAAGTCAAGGCGTACCAAGATAGCCGAGCCCGACCCCGGAGTTTCGACGTCGGTGATTATGTCCTAAGACGTAGGAAGGCCAGCAGGCCGACAGAGGGAGGAAAGCTCTCCGTCAAGTGGGAAGGCCCTTACGTGGTTGACGCAGTGATCGGCCCTGGGACATACAAGTTGAAGACAACAACAAGCCGGTTGGTAGACCGCGTCTGGAATGCCGAGCACCTGATGAAGTTTTACCAGTAGAAAATCGAAGTTTCACTTTTCTTTGTAAACTCCTGTGCTCCGAGCACGGGATTACAATTTGTAATTCTTCATGTGGTCCGCCCACATAATGAATTCAATATACTTTGCTAGCGATATTTTGTCATCAAAAGAGGTCCGACCTCACTTAGCAATAAAGGGCGGCGGCAAAAAAAAAAAAAAAAAAGGTACTATGCCCCCCCTCGGTGTTTGGCCGACCTCGGCTAGGCTCTTTAACCGAAAATAGCCAAGCGATTTTCAAGAATCTGGGCAATTTTCTAAAGTAAAGAGCTAGCCGCGACAGTCGAGGCGACGGTAGGGCCGGCCTCCGGGTCGAGGGTACTCAGGATGCTGACCTCCGGGTCCTTTCGAGTGCTCGCCGCCTAACATCGCTGGCCAAGCAGCTCGCACTCTCGTCATCCCTGAGTTGGCGGTGCGGGTTCGTTCTGGTGGATCATGCAGGGTCCGCCCCTGTTGTTTGGCTATCCATGCGGGAGTAACCAGATTATTCCCCAAGTCCGGGCAAACCGGACGGGTTAAAGTGACAGTAGGACTGACCCCCAGGTCATGAACGTTCAGGATACCGACCTAAGGGTCTTCCTCGTCGGTTCAATGTCCGACCTTGCTGGCCAAACAAGTCGCTTACTTGTTGATTCCATATCAATAGCGAACAGATCACTTCTACCCAACTAGGAGGGGCACGGATAGGCTCGGCCACGCCAGCCTAACCGCCCCCCGGGAGGTTAGAGAAGCCAGATCCCCGAATAAATTGCTAAGTATTCGTAATGCAAAGTATAGAAAAGGAGGCGTACGAAATAAAAACCAAACATCCATTCGAAACACAAAGTATTCAAGTGGGAAACAAAGGAAATACAAAATACAAGATCATGACTTGGTGAACTCATCCTTATCAAGTACAATGGTCTAGTGAGGGGAGTTGCTAAGAATCTCAAGTATCTCTCTCCAAATCTGGACTCCAGCGCGGCCCATGCTATGGTCATCCCCCTTTCGACGGGTGGTCGAAGGTGACTACTATCCGCCACACTCCAATTAGTGACAGGCCTGCCGCTAGCCACCTTTGCTCCAATCTGAGTTGCGGGCGCCAACCTCCGAATGCTTGCCGCTCAACATGGGAGGACATGAAGCCACTTATCCCTCATATGCGCCCGGCCTAAGCCTCACGCTGATGCCCGCTTGTTGGTATTCCTACCTGCAAAAAAAAAAAGTCGTTGTTAGAAGGGCACCCATCTGGAGGATTGCCCACCTGTGAAGAATAAGAACGTGACCCTCACCCGCCAGTCCTATAGCACGAACGCCTGGTAGGAGGGGCACCAAGCAGTAGGGATTCATTCTAATACGTCCTAAAGGTTGAGGTGCCAAGACGTTTGGGACTCATACAGAACAAGGAGACCATCGTCGTCGTGGCCGCTGCACCCTTCGCGGCCTCCATCCTAGAAGCTGTCGCTGAGTGATGGAGGTCAGCAGTCCAACCCGCGGCTGGGCATCACCGTCAACTCACAGAATACCGGCCAACCAAGGGCATGGGACCTGCGCCACAGGCTGCCAGCAGTTGACCAAGTTGAAAGGCGCCAAAGTTCCCTATGTCCACAAGATTAACATTTAACAGTGAACGAACATGGGATTGCTATGCCTGCAGGGTTTTTAGGCGGACTAGTGGGGCATCTATTCACACATGTTTCCGTCTCTCTCAAGGTAAAAGGAAGAAGATGGCAGCAGCCACCTTGCCGCTAGAGAGAAGAACCGCGTCGGTGCAACCGCCGGCCAACGCGGACGCCCGACGGACTGGGACGCCGCCGCATCCGCCGCACGATGGAGGGCAGCCAAGTTTAGACCCACCGCAAAGGAATCCATCGCCGTCTTGGATCCACTGCCGCCGACTCCGTCCGGAGTTATCACCGCCTGGAGCCGCCGCCTAAATCCTGGAAGCAACAGCGCCGACCGAGCGAGTGACGTCCGACCTGGGGCACTGGGCAATTTTCCGCTCGAGTTCGTCCGCCGTCGTGAAGGTCCGTCAGGTGAAGCCCTGCTGCGGCCGAAGGTTCAACCCGGCGACACCTTGCCGCTGAACGACCGTCAGCCTGGAGATTCACCCGGCGACGCCCTGCCGCTGAAGAATCGGTCTGCGATTTGGGGGTTGAGGCATGCTGGATTTCCGACTGCTGTGCTGCGCAGGGGAGCTGGATTTCCGACTGCTGTGCTGCGCAGGGGCTACGCGAGGAAGACGCACGCACGCGGTTCCAGGAGAGAGAGGAAAAAGAAAAGAAAGGAAAGAAAAAGAAAAGGAAAGAAAAGAAAAGAAAGGAAGAAAAGAAAAGAAAGGAAAAGAAAAAAAAAGGAAAGAAAAGAAAAGGAAAGAAAAGAAAAGGAAGGAATTTATTTGGAGCCTTTTTTGGGAGCCTGATTTAATTTGGGAATTTCCATAAATTCTGGGATTCCCATAATCCACAATTATGGCTCCCTGATATGTGAATATTTTTAAATCGGCAGCTGACTTAAACTACTCCCTCTTAGTCGAGTCTACTACTCGACTAAGGGAGTGGGGGACTCGTGATGGGGTTATGGGACTAGGCCCAGAGCCTAATCGGCCCAGGCCCCGAACTTGGACCAGCGGGCCCAAGCCCAGCAACCCAGAGCTCGAGTCAGCCCAACCAACCAGGGAAATCAGGGAGCCTGCGGTCCAGCCTACCCGGGAGCCTGTCTTCCAGCCCAGTGGGGAGCCCGCCTTCCAGCTTAGCCAGGAGCCTGCCGACCACCAGCCCAGCTGGGAGCATGCGGTCCAGCCCAACTGGGAGCCTGCGGTCCAGCCTACCCGGGAGCCCGCCTTCCAGCCTAGCCAGGAGCCTGCCGACCACCAGCCCAGCTGGGAGCCTGCGGTCCAGCCCAACTGGGAGCCTGCGGTCCAGCCTACCCGGGAGCCTGCCTTCCAGCCCAGTGGGGAGCCCGCCTTCCAGCCTAGCCAGGAGCCTGCCGACCACCAGCCCAGCTGGGAGCCTGCGGTCCAGCCCAACTGGGAGCCTGCGGTCCAGCCTACCCGGGAGCCTGCCTTCCAGCCCAGTGGGGAGCCTACCTTCCAGCCTAGCCAGGAGCCTGCCGACCACCAGCCCAGCTGGGAGCCTGCGGTCCAGCCCAACTGGAAGCCTGCGGTCCAGCCTACCCGGGAGCCTGCCTTCCAGCCTACCCGGGAGCCTGCCTCCAGCCCGGTCAGAAGTCTTCCTCCAGTCTAGCGGGAAGCCCACCATCCAGTCCAGCAGGAGGGAGCTCAAGCGTCCAGCCTGCCAGCCAGGCTGACCTGCCAGCCAAGAAGAGTAACGGCCAACAATTAATGCGCGACTTAATTATGTGTTTAATTCTGTATTAATGTTGTAATTAATTTAGTCATTATTATGTTCGGCAGTTACCATTTGTAATCGCCTATAAAAGGCAATTCGAATTTCAAATACAGAGATGCTATTTCTGGCTAACTTTCCATATTCGTACTTTCCTAATTCTTGCTTGAGTGTCGTACGTAGCTTTCCTAAAAGCCTACGAGCGTCCTATTTTGGACCAACAAGTACAATGCCTCAAAAATAAAGTAGAACTACATTATGCTAAGTGTTACACAAACAAATTTTATCTGATGAAAACACCGGAGAGAAGATGAAAGGGGAGGGGAGGTTGAGAGAGGAGGGGATAACGTACGTAGGGCTCTCAAAACTTTTATTTTAGGAGAGATAGACAATCAAATAGTGGATTTTTATTTTAATATAGATAGACAACCGACAAAGACATCAAAACAATTCAATGAGTACAACGACTTGAAACATAAAACATGAGTACATTATGCTTGAGTGTTAAATCAACCAATTTTATATGATGAAAACACGGGATAGAAGATGAATAAAAGGGGAATATCGAGAGTTTGAGAAGGGAATAATTGAGAGCTCTCAAAACTTTTAATTTAACGGATGTAGACAACCGAACATCGGGCTTTTATTTTAACGTAGATAGTAGGGTTGGGCAAATCGCTTTACGGTTCGGTTTTTATCGGGTTCGGTTTGGTTTCAAGTTGGTTGGTTCGGTTTCAAGTTGTTCGGTTTGGCGAAAAATGTATTTCGGTTTGGTTTCGGTTCGGTTCGAAAAATTTTTGGTTCGTTTCGGTTTGATGTTCAGTTTATAAAGTTAAAAAATAATGTATATGATAGAGTATATGGGCTTGGACCCCATGACCCACATACTCTAAAAGTCAAACACGCCAGCAGAACACCCGCGCGACTTGCTACGGTCAGTAGGGGCCCCGCAATGGCCTAGGGCCAAATCAGCCCAGAACACCACCTGGACTTCTGGGGCCGCATCGGCCCATGGACCGCATCGGCCATAGGACCGCATCGGCCATGGGACCGCATCGGCCAAAAGTCACCGCATCGGCCAGGCTCAATCCGGGCAGAACGCATTTTCATACTTTATTTACTAAGTGTTTTACTCAGCCTATTAGTGGCCCTATTCCGCCCAAAGAAGGCATGGTTATTGTAATGAGCCTCCTAAGCCCAAGGCTAGGGGCCCAAATCCACATTTTTACCTATAAATAGAACCCAAGGGGCTAATTATAGGGGGTTGAGAAATATTAATTACTCATTTTCTCTCTCTAGCTCTCACTTCTCTCTAGAATTAAATACTCTATCATTTGGTGCTCTCGTTGAGAGCTAGAACTGATCAAGTGAGAACCCTTCTTCACTACCAGACATTGTCACTAACTATGGGAAGAACTAAGTCAAAGATCCACGTCGCTAAGAACGCCCCCGTAAGCCACGAATGCCAGGAGGGACAAGGCGATGTTGCTGACAACGTCCCTAACGACTTTATTGCTGAGGAAGGGAACGTCCAGGAGGTCGAGCACCCAGCTAACGACCTTCACAACCACCTCAACAGGACTGCTTCAGATGCCCGCCTCGGGCTCGAGCACAAACGCGCTGCTGATCACGCTTCGGGCCAATAGGTTTCTCCCCCTGTTGCCCCCAGATCAACCCGGCTGCTCTGTCGACCATCGTCACCAGCATCCTCCAGGATCCCAATGTGGTCAGCGCTCTTGTCGCAAAGACTGGAGAAAACAACACTCCTGCAAGTGGGGAGATTGCGATGGTACCGCTGCCGCCGCCACCTCCACCTGTCATCATCTTCTTCAGCCACGACGAAAATGTTGTCGCCATGGACACCCATTCCCATACTCCCACTCCTACCCGGGATACACTGGCTCAACCTCGCGGTAAAACCTCGGCCTTCAATAGGCTGGGTGACATCGCGAGCCGTCGGGTACCTACGGGAAGGATGACGGATCGGTTGGGTGGCCGCGAGCCGGCTTTGCCGAGAGAAAGCTTTGGGTCCGTCTCCCGAACAACGGATCGGCCCTGATTGGACAAAGGCAAAGGAAAGCTACATGAGGATGACGCACGTCATCAGATCAATCAGGCCCACGCGGCCCAGATCCAACCCCTGCAGGACACCGCTGCGGTTCCCAGGGATCCTAAGGATGAGATGATCGCCCGGCTAGAGAAACGTCTGGTCGACATGGAGGCCTGAGAAGCCGCGGTGCTTGCAGCGGATGCTGCAGCTCATACATCCCAACCCCCAACTACGACGCGCTCCTGAACAAAGTTTGCGCTCTGGAAAGGGAGTTGGCTGACAGACGTGATGAGCCTGTCATCCAGATACGGACGAGGACCCCCTTCCCCGAAATAGTGCTCTCCGCCCCATCCCTGAGAAATACAAGGGGAACCCGATCAAGCCATATGACGGTCGCACCGATCCTCAGGAGCACTTCACCCGCTACCAGAACAACATGATGATGACTAATGCCTAAGAAGAATATATGTGCCGCTGGTTCCTTTCCACACTGCAAGGGACATCTTATGATTGGTTCAACGACCTTCCGAAAGGGAGCATAGACTCATGGCAGGATCTGGCTCAGCGCTTCCTCACCCACTTTGCTGGGAGGAAGCGCGTGAAGAAACATTTCGCTCACCTCCTCACCATCAAGCAGCAATCGGAGGAAACACTCCACACATTTCTCGATCGCTGGACGAGGGAGGTGGATGAGTGCTAAGGAGCTGACAAGCGCACCCTCTTGGCCTTCCTCATAGGAGCACTTCGGCCCAACCACTTCGCCCGGAGCCTATTCACTGAGCCACCGCGGTCATACCCCGCGGCACTCCCGCGTGGAGATAGGCATGCGGACGCCGACGAACTCCTGAGCCAAAAGAAGGGCGGGGAAAAGCCGTCAAGGAAGAATGACTCCTCGGCCAACCCCAACCCCCCAACGCACCGCCCCACAGGGATCAGAACCAGCGCAAGAAGGCGCACCAGGAATCTGGTGGACAACGGAGGGACGACCGCTCATGGCGCCCAAAGTTGGAGGGACAACGGATCCCCATCACCCACCCGGTAAGCGTTGTCCTTGATTACGCCGAACAGCAGGGCCTCATTGTGAAGGACCCCAGATCAGAGGAGGAAATTTTTGCAATCCATAAGGGAGGGACGTATTGCAAGTACCACCGCCAGACATCAAACAAAACCGACGATTGCTCCACTCTGAAGAGACACGTCGACAAACTCATCCAGCAAGGGGAACTCTCCCAGATTTTCAAGGGCGACCCAAGAAAAATACGTGGGTCAACCCTGGCAAAAAGGGGGAGGGGTCCTACGGGAAATAAAAGAGAAATCGACGCCCTCAGTGAGGATGAGGACGACAAGGAGCCCCACCAGAAGAAGCATCACATTCACATCATCATCGGCGGTAACACGGGAGGGGACTCGGCTACCCAACGGAGAAAGTGGGCTCAGTCCCTATACGTTGGTGAGGTGTCCCATGCCCCCCCCCCCCCCCCCCCCCGCGGCCGAAGTGACAGCATGTAGAGGCCATCACCTTCATCGACAGGGACCTCCCCATTGGCCCCTTTCCCCATAGAGACGCCATTCTCGTCAAATGTGAGATTGGCAACAACATCATCCACCGAAACTACATCGACACCGGCAGCCCTGTCAATGTAATGTACGTTGACACATTCATATGGCTGAAGCTGAAGAAGGCAGAGCTCAAGCCGATATGGACACCGTTGTCCGGCTTCACCGGGGGACTCTATCGACGCCGAGTGCATGATAATGCTTCCCGTTATGGCCGGCGACGGCACTCATCAGGCGAAGATTGACAGAGAGTTTGTGGTCGTGAACCTGGACAACACCCACAATATGATATGGGGCTGACCTGCCTTGGAGGACCTTGAGGCCATCATCTCCATGAAGCACTTGTGCCTCAAGTTCCCTACAAAGGACAGCGTCGACTACGCCAGAGGAAATCAGAAGATAGCCAGAGCTTGCTAGGGTTGTAAACGAATCGAATCGAATAGTGAGTAATATTATTCGTATTCGTATAAATTGACGAATATTCGTATTCGTATTCGGATATTATTCGAATCTTACAATAGATTCATATTCGATTCGTTTATTGTATTTGACTATATTCATATTCGAATTCGAATTCGAATATTCGAATTCGAATTCGAATATTCGAATTCCAATTCAAATATTTGAAGTGTCACAAAAAATTCAACTATTCAAATTATGACTCATTTTAGGCATTTTTCGATTTTCACAAATGTCTATTAAATGAATTGTTTCAAAAATTCAATTACTTCAAAACTCAATTGCTAAAGAAACACACACAAATAAAGTAAACAAAGTTAATTCAATTACTTAAACCTAGAATATGTATTACCTATTTTATATTTTAATTTTAAACAATTATATAAATTATAAATATAATAGAATATATATTTATAATTCGTAAATATACAAATCGAATATATTCGAATAACTTACGAATCGAATATATGTATATTTGTATTCGTATTCGAATTTTATTCGAATAATAAAATTGATTCGTATTCGAATTCGTATTCGAATATTTCGAATTCGAATCATCAATTTCGAATTCGAATCGCGAATCGGATCAAAATTATTCGATTCGTTTACAACCCTAGGGCTTGCTACATGAAGCTCACAAGGAAGATCAACGAGGCCGAAGAGCGGATTGACACAATTACCACCGCCTCGGCCGAAGAGGACTGATAAGCATTTTATTAACGTATTTTATACAAAAATTTATAAACGCTTTTATACTTAAAAGAATAAAACTCTCACACATATGTCTCGTTTTGCAAGAAATACTATAACCGACAATTGGATCAAATACGAGGATGAAAAGACACGCGAAGAATCCCGACAAGTAAAGGTCAACCAAACGCATCCCAAGAACAAAAGGAAAAAAAAAAGGAAAATACACCAAAGGGGTGTAAGCCGTCCGACTTTCACCAAAACCGGCCGGTTTTCACCAACCAGTCATCCAGTTGCCGTCCGAAGATGAAGGAAAAGCATCCGGAGCAAAACAGACGAAAGCCGCCCGACTTTCATGAAAGGCGCCCGGCTTTGGGCGCCGTGGAA